AAGCTGTTCTATACAAACAATGCAATTGCCTTGCATTTACACATTGGTCTTGGTTGACAGAAGCATTTTATATTAGGATTAAGTCACTGTTTATGTTTTTTTGTGTATAATTTAGTGTTCCCTGTGTCTTGGTTCTAATTTCAGGGCGTTGAATACATTCCTGGTGTTGGGAAAGTGGCAGGAGATGCCACAGAGAAAAAGATGACGCAGCAGCAGCAGCAGCAGCAGCAGGGACTCTGAACTCACAGGATCCTGAACAAGAGGACTTAGAACAAGGTGCAGGCAATACTCAGCAATAAAAAGGATTCTGAAAACAGAGCAAGCCTCGGGGGCTTAGCTGGAGATAAGGCCACCAAATAATTCAGAGTTATACACTAGTTGCACCTCTGAAAATCAGCAAAATCTCAGTATGATCTTAAAAACTGTAACTGACTGTTCACAATTTTAACACTGGAGAGATTTCTTCAGGTAAGACACAATTTGCTTGCAAGACACATGTTCTCCATCTTGCGTTTGGTTTTAAATAAAGCTTTCGTTTGCTAATTGTCCTTTTCTTTTTCTTCTCACCAAGTCATTAAGTAGTAGTTGAGCCTGGCTGTTTCCCTGCTCTGAAAAGATTCTATTGGATTGCACAAGATGTTGAAAAGGGAATAATTGGAGGGCTTGTAGATACTGATGTAAGAAGATATTTCTATGGAAACCACATCCTGCAGTATGGAAGAGAGATACCACAACACACACTGGTATCAGAATGACAGCTGTAACCTTCCTTTCAAAGCAAACAATTGATCTTGAATTGCTTTCATTTGAGCTTTTCTAGCAGAAAAATCTGCCTCAAGCCCTGTGGTGGACAGGGTAGTGGAGGAGAAGTTTGGTACAGAGAAGAGTGAGCAAGCTACAGGCCTTAAACTGCCTTTAAATTCAGGCACTGTGATCATGTTAAGTGTAAGTTCAGGGTGTAGAACTTTATGTAGATTACATATTGCATGTTTTATTTCCTGTAGGCTCTTCCCTAATGTTTAGTTACTTTCATTAACTTGGAAGTATAACATTTGACTAGATCATTCATGGTATGGCTTCGTAAAGAAATTTTGATCTTTTACCACGAGATGGTTCTGTATGAAAACTTATTTTATTTTCTTTTAGTGGGGAATTTCTAAAGCTTAAACATTGTATTAATGATTACAGGTGAAAGAAACTCACAAGGATCAGATCAGGTCCAGTGGCAGAGAAGGTTTTGCAGAGGTAGGCTCAGTGGTGAACAGCAGTAGCATCTTGATGAACCTGAATAGATCCAGCAGCCTTAATTCTTAAGTGGGTGCCTTTAAACAAGGAGAAGTAGCTATTTCTTTCCAGAAACTTAAGCAGCATTTCCAGGGAGACAGTTCTTGTAGGCAGGCATTGTGGGTACACTGCAGGGATGTATATTTCCCCCCCCGTACGGCATAATTGCTCACACATAGCCCTGTCGCCCTGTTTTTGTTTGATGTCATGATTTAATATAGCATTTCTTCATGTATCCAAGTAACTCCTCCCCTGTTGAGCTGCTCAGTAAACCATATGCCTGAGACAAATCAAAATCAGACCTTTCTAGGCATCTCTTTAAAAAAAAAGCTATAATTGGAAGTTACAAGTTTTTGCCAAGAGAATTAAAACACTGAATTGTGTGCCAGCCTTAATCGTGTTGCTATGGTTCTCTTGTCTCAAAGAGAATGCATTTAGCACTAACTTTATAATCAGTTATCTTCAGGTTGTTGATTCATCAAGTCGCAAAGGGTGTGCTATAAAGACTGATGGAAACTGTGTGTCCTCCTGTGCAACAGCCTATATTGTTACTTAATGTATGGTTTTCTAAATATACAGTTTTTGTGAAGAGTTGCAATACCAGTTGCTCCTAAGTGTGATAGAAAATGATTATATCTGTCCTCATGAAAGCTGATCTGGAGTTGCAGTAGCCTGGCAAACTCACCTCATATCTAGTTTGCACAGGCTTGCTCCGTGGTATTTCAGAGATGCTGACTTACAGAGCAATTAGTTTGAATATTGATTTTTGTTTCTTTTCTTATGTTTTGGTAATATTAGTGCTTTAAGGTGTCTGATTAATTTAGAAGTTTGGACCTGCAACTCATTCTTGGCAGTATGAAATACTTCTTAGTGAGATCACAAGAATCCTAAGAGGGTCTGAACTAGAAATAGATCCAATGTCTTCACTGTCTTAATAGAACATACTAGAAAAAAAAACCCCAAAACAAGAGCACAAACATCTTTTTCTCAGAGTAGAAATTCTTTCAGATAAATCTGCATTTACTCAAGGATAGGATGGTTTCAGAGTGCTGGAAAAGTTGGCAAAGGCTTGAAAGAGCATTCCAATTTTTGGAGGTTTTTTTCAAAACCTTGGATTTAATCTCCTTCTGAATCTACACTTTGGTGTCAGTAGCTTGACACGATGGGGCTTCTGCTTAGGAGAGCCAGAGGTAAGTGTGTGTGTGAGAGAGAGATGGCAGACGTGCTGAAGGGAAATGTGTACCTGTTGTTCTTACAAGCATAGACACTTAGATCTGGACTGCAAGTTACATATTAGATGTCAGCATCAGTGTTAGCAAGGGCCTGGGTGTGTGCGTGCCAACTAAATAAAGTATTTGAATCACTCTCAAGGCAAGTAAACATATGGATTTTAAGGCTAGGCAATTTCATTACCTTAATCTGTCATGATGTTTCACATAATGTAAGCCAGACAATTTCATGCATGGTTGCTGGATCAAAAATCATTGGTTTTGGTTGAAACAACTCATTTTTTAGAAAGCTTGTTTTGATTTGACAGTTCTGCTTTCTCCAGTGTTGGGCAGTGGGAATTCTGCCACACTCACTGGCAAGTTGTGCTGAAGTTTTTTTTACAGGTGCACCAATTTTTTTAGTCTGAATTCATTTTGGTTTAGTCTCCTATGATGGATTTTGCTTTTCTGTCTAATGCTGAGCTATGGCTCTGGTACTATCACAATTCTTTCAGTGTGGAGATGGATACCTTGTGGTACATCACGACATCAGTGACCAGCACTGGGTTTTGGATCTGTCTCTGTGAGTCAGACTTTCCTGACCTTGATTCATCCTTCTCATCCTTTGAGAAACATTTTCAATTTTTCCTATTCCTCTTGGCAGCCTGAACATCATCACAGCCTCAGTTCCAGTTACAATCCCACTGACTGTTACGGGTCAGTATTCCTGGCTGCTGTGACCTGTGGTTGTAAATCATCACGGATTCTAACGTGCTTGTGGGTGTCTTTATGGTGAACATGCTTTTTAAAACGTATCTGATTTAATGTGTTTTCTTTAGTGGCCACAATGGGTGCAGCATGCTAGTGAAAATGTAGTCGATCCGGCGTCATCTTTATTACTACCACGAGATGGCACCATGACATAGCGTAACATTGTCGTCATGTCGGGTGCTTGAGGCATTGACCGAGATTTAAATACATCCCCCGTTGGCTTGATTTCTTCAGAGAAAGGAGGATGAGGATGTGGTAAAGTTTGTCTTGTGCTTGCCATTCAGTCTCATTGTGTCAGTGGAGTTTGTCTCGAGTGGGCCCTGGGTTGACTTTTCAAACATTTCTGTAGCCAAGGTGAAGTTCTAAGGGTAGCACAGACTGCACACTGCACCCGAATTGTGCCCCTTTGTACTCTTGTTTTGTCAGGAAGCTTGGGTGGGACTTTTCCATGTTGTATTTCATAGTTTTCCAGCATGAGATGAATCTGTCTCAGTTGTTCAAGAGAGAACTTGATCCTCTAGTTTTTCATTTCTGTCCCTTCTCTCTCTGTTATGGGCATTGCATCAAAGTACTACTGACCACTTTCTTTGACTTTTGTTATGTAATGTGCTGCTAATATTCTCAGCATTAGAAAAGAAGGATGGTTGGTATTTGCCCTAAAGGCAAATTGTCTTGGGTCAGTATCCTTCCCTCCCATCTCTGTGATGACATTAATGTATTATGGGATCTGTTTGGACACTCGTGGACTGCTCTTGAAGGGTCTGCTAGAAGTCACCTTATAGAAACTTCTTATGTCTTCTTTCTGCTATGTTTTTTGTGGGAAGTGTTTAGAAATACAAATTAAACGCTCTAAATAACCACTTTTCACTTGTATTAGTTGATTATGAGAAATGAGCCATCCAAAAAGCTGCCTTATAAGTAGGTGCCAAAGTAGAAAAAACCCAGCTAACTTGCCTGAACTCATTAGTGTGAAAAACAGACTCACTTGGCACCTTTGCATTGACTGTGTCCAAACAAAGGCTCGGTGACATCCTTAGAGCTGAGTGCCTGGCTGACGTAATTGGGATTGATTCTGTCTGAATGACCCATGTTCCTAAAGAAAGCCTTGGCAGGTCTATAAAGCACAGCAGTTGATTTGGAGTCACTTAGGGGTGTTCAAATCCACACTTTAGTGTCCTTTTCTATGGATGAAGAAGGGAGGGAACACTCTGTACTTCAGCACCTAACTGGATCCTTCTTAACACCTCCCTATCAAGGATGTTGGAGGAAAAAAACAACACATCCAAATAGAATTTCTGCTTTGTCAAATTTATTGCTCAATTGCATAAACAAAGAATGCATCCAGCTGTAGTTAGTTATTTGGTATTGACTTAGGCCTTCCTTTATGTATGTCTTTTACAGATGAGCATGCAATAAAATTTAAGTACACAGGAGACAAAATTAGGAGTTTGTAATTAGCTGCTATTCAATTTGCAATCCGACGTGATGGTAAAGTCTCAGTTTAATCTTCTCTATTTGCCTTAGACTTTATCCTTGCTTTATTGAATTTTTCTATCTTGAAGGTTGTTGGGGTTGTTTTTTTGGAGGTGGGGTTTTTTTAGGGAATCTTTTTGGGTTTAATTTAAACTGAAGGCTCCATTTTTGGAAGATCAATAAACTCCATCTGGAGGAATTCTTTTCTCCCAGCCACCTGACGCTTAGATGAAGCTGAACTTTTTGTCTTGTTCTCATTCTCAGGGAGATCAGAGATTGTATTTACCATGATGAGTACATTTGGGGGTGTCGGTATTCGTTCACCAACATCTGATTTGTAAATTAATAGCTCAGCCTCTGGACTGTGGGGTGCTAAAGGTCAGTGACCATGAGAGGAGAAACACCTCAGACCTGTGTGTGCCCTCTCGTCAATAGGAGTGGCTTTGGGTTAAT